TAATAGCAAACATAAGGAAAATAATCAGTAGTAATACAATAATAGTAAGGGACTTTAACATCCCACTTAACATCAATGGACAGATCATCCAAATAATAAATCAATAAGGAAACAGTGTCTTTGAATGACACATTAGACCGTATGGATTTAGGAGATACAGTGAGAACATTCCATCCTAAAACAGCAGAATACACATTCTCTTCAAGCGCACATGGAACATTCTCCAGAATAGATCACATGTTAGGCCACAAGTCTCAATAAATTCAAGAAGACTGAAGTCATACCATGCCTTTTTTCTGACCACAACACTATGAAACTACAGATCAACCACAAGAAAAAAATCTGGAAGGAACAAAATACATGGAGGTTGGATAACATGTTATCCAACAACGAATGGGTCAACCAAGAAGTCAAAGAATAAATCAAAAAATTCATGGAGACAAATGAAAATGAAAACACACACACAAAATAAAGGAAGAAAATGAAAACACAATGATCCAAAATCTTTGGGATGCAAACGTGGTTCCAAGAGGGACGTCATATAGCAACACAGGCCTAAATCAAGAAGCAAGAAATATCTCAAATAAGGAACCTAACATTACACCTAAAGAAGCTAGAAAAATAACAAGAAACCCAAATCAGAAGAAGTAAGGAAATAATAAAGATTAGTGCAAGAATAAATTATATAGAAATTTTAAAAACAATAGAACAGATTGATGAAACCAGGAGCTGGTTCTTTGAAAGGATCAACAAAATTGATAAACCTTTAGTCAGACTCATCAAGAAAGAGAGAGAGAGAAAGAGAGAGAGAGAGAGGGAAAGAGATAATTAAAATAAACAATATCACGAAAGAGGAGAAATAACAAGTGACATTGTGGAAATACAAAGGATGGTAAGAGAATATTATGAAAAATTATATGCCAACAAACTGGACAACCTAGAAGAAATAGATGAACTCCTAGAAACATATAACCTCCAAAAACTGATTCAGGAAGAGATAGAAAATTTGAATAAACTGATTATCAACAATAAAACTGAATCAGTAATCAAAAACTCCCAACGAACAAAAGTCCAATACCAGATGGCTTCACAGGCTAATTCTACCAAACATTTAAAGAAGAGTTTAATACCTATTATTCTCATGCTATTCCAAAAAATAGAAGAAGGAAAACTTTCATATTCATTCTACGAGGCCAGTATTACCCTGATACCAAAACCAGATAAAGAAACTACAAAAAACAGACTACAGGCCAATATCTCTGATGAACATGGATGCAAAATTCCTCAACAAAATATTAGCAAGCCAAATCCACCAATACATTAAAAAAATAATTCACCATGATCAAATGGGATTTATTCCTGGGATGCAAGTGCAATATTTGCAAATCAATCAACATGATATATCACATCAATAAGAGAAAGGATAAAAACCACATAATCCTTTCAATAAGTGCAGGAAAAGCATTTAACAAAGGACAGCATCCAATTATGATAAAGAAAAGTCTTAATAAAGTAGATTTAGAGAGAACATACCTCAACAGAATAAAGGCCACATATAAAAACCACACAGTTAGCTTCATACTTAATAGTGAAAACTTGAGAATTTCCCCCTAAGATCAGAAATAAGACAAGGATGTCCATTCTCACAGCTTTTTTTTAATGTTTATTTATTTTTAAGAGATAGAGAGACAGAGTGAGAGCGGGGGAGGAACAGAGAGAGAGAGGGAGACACAGAATCCGAAGCAGGCTCCAGGCTCTTGACAGCTCAGAGCCCAATGTGGGGCTCGAACTCACAAACCATAAGATCATGACCTGAGCCGAAGTTGGACACCCAACCGACTGAGCCACCCAGGAGCCCCTCACCACTTTTTTTTTTAAAGTTTATTTATTTAAAGAGAGAGTGTAAGCAGGGGAAGAGTAAAGAAAGGACAAAGAGAGAGAGAGAATGCCAAGCAGGCTCTGCACTGTCAGTATGGAGCCCAATGAGGGTCTCAAACAAGCATGAGATCATGACCTGAGCTAAAGTCGAGTCAGATGCTTAACCGACTGGGCCACCTAGGCACCCCCACTCTCACCACTTTCATTCAACATAGTACTGGAAGTCCTAGCCACAGGAATCAGACTACAAAAAGAAATAAAAGGCATCCAAACTGGGAAGGAAGAAGTAAAACTGTCACTATTTGCAGATGACATGATGCTATAAATAGAAAACCTTAAAGACTCTAGCAAACTACTAGAACTGATAATTGAATTCAGTAAGATCCCAGAATACAAAATCAATGTATAGAAATCTGCTGCATTTCTATACACCAATAATGAAACAAGAGAAAGAAAAATTAAGGAAGCAATCCCATTTACAACTGCACCAAAAATAATAAAACACCTAGAAATAAGCCTAACCAAGGAGGTGAAAGACTTGTACCCTGAAAACTATAAAACACTGATGAAAGAAATTGAAGATGACACAAACAAATGGCAAGATATTCCAAATTCATAGTTTGGAAGAACAAATATTGTTAAAATGTCCATACTACCCAAAGCAGTCTATAGATTTAATGCAATCAGTATCAAAATACCAACAGCATTCTTCACAGAACTATGAGAAATAATACTAAAATTTGTATGGAACCACACGAGATCCCAAAAAGCCAAAAGAATCTTGAAAAAGAAAAACAAAGCTGGAGGTATCACAGTTCCAGATGACTACAAAGCTGTAGTAATCAAAACAGTATGGTACTGGCACAAAAACGGACACATAAACCAATAGAACACAATAGAAAGCCTAGAAACAAACCCGCAGTTATATGGTCAATTAATCCTCAACAAAAGAGCCAAGAATATGCCATGGGAAAAAGTCTCTTCAATAAATGTTGCTGGGAAACCTGGACAACTACATGCCAAAGAATGAAACTGGACCTCTTGCTTACACAATACAGAAAAATAAAGTCAAAATGGATTAAAGAACTAAACATGAGACCTGAAACCATAAAAATCCTAGAATAGAGCACAGGCAGTAATTTCTCTGACATGGACATTTCTAATATTTCTCCTGAAGCAAGGGAAATAAAAGCCTAAATAAACTTTTGGGACTACATCAAACTAAAAAGCTTCTGCACAGCAAAGGGAACAACCAACAAAACTAAAAGGCAGCCTGATGAATGGGAGACGATATTTGCACATGACATAGCTGATAAAAGGGTAGTATCTAAAATATATAAAGAACTAATAGAACTCAAACCCCAAAAAACAAATAATCCAATTAAAAATGGGCAGAAGACATGAACAGACATTTCTCCAAAGAACACATACTGATGGCCAGCAGACACGTGAAAAGATGTTCAACACCACTAATCATCAGGGAAATGCAAATCAAAACCACATAAGATACCACCTCACACCCATTAGAATAACTACGATCAAAAACAGAAGAAGCAGCAAGTATTGGTGAAGACGTGGACGAAGAGGAACCCTCACGCACTGTTGCTGAAAATGCAAACTGGTGCAGTGACTGTGGAAGATAGTATGGATGTTCCTCAATAAATTAAAAACAGAACTACTCTATGATCCAGTAATTGCACCACTTGGGATTTACCCAAAGAATAAAAAAACACGAACTTGAAAGGATACATGTACCCCTATATTTATTGTAGTATTACTTACAATAGCCAAATTATGGAAACAGCCTGGTGTCAATATAATGGAATATATGGTCCATCAATGATAGTAATATTCATCTATATTTTTTATATATGAATGATCTTTTTTGTGGCTGAATAATATTCCATTATTTTATATATTTTATATAATATAAAATGAAATAGTATTTGACCATAAAAAAGATGTGATGTGATATACAATGGAATATTATTCAGCCATAAAAAATAATGAAATCTTGCCATTTGTAACAACATGGATGGAGTTAATGCTAAGTGAAATGAGACAGTCAGAGAAAGACAAATACCATATGATTTCCCTCAAATGTGGATTATAAGAAACAGAATAAACGAACAACAGAAAGAAAAAGAGACAAACCAAAAGTAGAATCATAACGATAGAGAACAAAGTGATGGTTACCAGAGGGGAGGTTGGTGGGGGGATGGAGGAAATAGGTGAAGGAGATTAAGAGTACACTTACCATGATGAGTACTGAGTAATGTATAAAATTGCTGAATCAATATTGTATGCCTGGAACTAATATAACACTGTATGTTAACCATACTGGAATTAAAATTTTAAACTTAATTTTTAATTTTATTTTTTTTAATTATTTTTTTCAACATTTATTTATTTTTTTTGGGACAGAGAGAGACAGAGCATGAACGGGGGAGGGGCAGAGAGAGAGGGAGACACAGAATTGGAAACAGGCTCCAGGCTCTGAGCCATCAGCCCAGAGCCTGACGCGGGGCTCGAACTCACAGACCGCGAGATGGTGACCTGAGCTAAAGTCGGACGCTTAACCGACTGCGCCACCCAGGCGCCCCTCAACTTAATTTTTTAAAAAAGGCTTCTTCTCTCGGGAAATAGCTGTTTGGTCTGCATTAGTGAGCACCATTTTGTAACCTGACGTTTGGCTCTTTAACTGACAACATGAAGCTTCAGTACTTGGTCTTAGCTCTTTCTATATTATTAGTTGACTCAGTATGTTGAAATTAACTATTTTTCAGTCTTTCCCATTAGACTGAGCTCCTGGAGAGCAGGAGGTAGGTGCTCAATGAATATTTGTTGAACTAGAAATGGACTTACGAAATTCAAGGCCAGAACCTTCTCATGGTAGCATTAAAGGCAGTGATGAAAAAAGTACTATGGGATTTGGATGTGGACAATACTCGCCATGACAGTGTTTCAGGAGGAAATCGATGCTTTCTTAGTCCCCTGGGATGTCATGGTCTAAATGAAGTGCTTTTAAACTCATCCTCTGTGGCTACTGTAAGCAGGCCCGATGCTGGCCAGTCTCGAGTGCTCTGGCTTAGTATGTTTATGAGTTCTGTCCTTTCCTGAAGGAGCCAGAGGAAGAGCTATCCATGGAGAATAGCCCCACTATGGCTAAAATGGACCAGGGTGAAAATCAGGTTTTACCAAGTCCAAGAAGAAGACACCTCCCCAAGGCACTTGGCTATGTCACCGGTGATATGAAAGAATTTGCCAGCTGGCTTAAAGGTATTTATGCTTCCATCCCTTGGGTTGATGGGATAGGTAGCGTGGGGTTCTTGTACTCATATCTTTAGTTATATTCCCTTGACTTTTAACTATTCCTCTCCTCTCCAGTTTTTAACTTTCGTTTTTTTTTTAAGAGTTTATTTTTAACTAATCTCTATACCCAACATGGGGTTCAAACTTACAACCCCAAGATCAAGAGTCACATGCTCTACCGACCGAGCAAGCCAGACACCCCTAACTTTTTATCTTCTAACCTGCAAGCCCCTTCCAATGTTTTGATTTTTTATGGAGATAGTGGTCAGGATCAGGGCCCTGTTCATAATAGAGGAAGGCACCTGGTTCCATCCCATAATTTCAGCACTTAAAGACTAAAGTTTTATTATTGGTAATTCATTTCTTTGACTTAAGAGTCTTTACCACTGAGCATGGTAAATAAGTGCATTCTGTGCTTTCTGCAGTGGAGATTCTAATAGGGGCAGTGTGGGTGGAGCATAAAGAAACAGAAGGGTTTCAGGGATCTGAGGGCCACTAAAAGGGAAATGACTCAGAGGGAAATAGCTTCCAGGAATATCAAAACTTAGTTCACCTTTCTCAGAAGGGGTGTTGGTTTTACTCAGGGTGGGCACTAGGCATGGAAAAGCGAATCTTGCCTTGTCAATTCCTTAGCTCTGCGTATCTCATCTCTTCCAGACAAACCACAGGTGCTCCAGTTCGTAGATTGGGTTCTTCGGGGCATATCCCAAGTGGTGTTCGTCAGCAACCCCATCAGCGGAATCCTGATTCTGGTGGGGCTCCTCGTCCAGAATCCCTGGTGGGCTCTCAATGGCTGTGTGGGAACAGTGGTCTCTACCCTGACGGCCCTGTTACTTGCTCAGGACAGGTAGGCGCGTCCATTCAAGCCTGCTCGTCTTGCTTCTGAGAACACAGGAGCCAACCAGTGACTTTGGGAACCAGTGATAAAGTCCCACTCTTCCCAGAAAACCTACCTTTATTCCACAGAACTCTACATTTGTCTTGAGTCAGACATCAAGGGATCATCTATATCCCTTATTATTTCTCTTTCATCATTCACTAAATCATTCTTCTTTAGTGATTAATCAGTTATTTATCATGAGCATTTTGTTTGGGCATGAGTTCTTAAAAAGTCTTGATGGCTTAAAATTTAAAAAAAAAAGGGGGGGGCGCCTGAGTGGCTCAGTCGGTTAAGTGTCCAACTTCAGCCCAGGTCATGATCTCACAGTTCGTGAGTTCAAGCTCTGTGTCGGGCTCTGTGCTGACGGCTCAGAGCCTGGAGCCTGCTTCAGATTCTGTGTCTCCCTCTCTCTCTCTGCCCCTCCCCAGCTCATGCTCGCATGCTGTTTCTGCCAAAAATAAACTAAAAAAAAAAATAAATAAAAAATAAAAAAAATAAAAAAAAAAGTCTTGATGGCTTAAAAAATTCCACTAATTCCATTATATCTTGTTTCCATGCTTAGTTTAGCAAATTCATTCTTTATAGACAGTGTAAAGGTTAGCTCAGTTTCTAGAAAGATGAATAATCACAAATTCCAAGTTAGTAAGTTCTGACTTACGAAGTGTTTGTGTGTTTTCTCAACTACGTGTTAGGTTAAAAATAGCACATACATTTTTAAGTTTACTTATTTATTTTGAGAGAGAGAGAGAGAGAAAGAAAGAGCAGGCAAGTGGGGGAGGAGCAGAGGGAGAAGGAGAGAGAGAGAATCCCAAGCAGGCTGCACGCTGGCAGCACAGAGCCCAGCTCAGGGCTCGATCTCATACTCGACTCAAAAATAGCATGTACTTTATAAATTGATCTGTCATTGAAGAAGTGATAAGCTGACTTCTACAATGGGAGAAGACAGCTCCTGACTTCCTAGTTTTATCAGGGAGGCCACTGGTCTTCTAGATGTCCAGGATCAATGCATAAGCACCAGTGGATGGTCATTGTAATGACTCAGCTCTTATAACACTTACCATAAATTACCTAAGGAGCTAACCAGAAAAAGAATCAGAAAAAGTTCCACTCTCCCATCAGGTCCAAAGAGCCTGATTTGTTCTCCATAGCTTACGTTCAGTCCTATTCCAACGCACATCAGGAAACAGTCTATTCAGTATGGAGGTGTGGTCCAAGACTGCGCCATATCAACTATTCCTTCATTGTTTTGTTCAAGTGGAAAATGACACATTTTCCTTATCAGGTGTTATTTAAAAATCAAGCCATATTTACACGTGTTGATTTTCAAATCTCTTTTACTCTCTTCAGTCCCAAAGGACCGCATTAAAATGGCAATCCTGTGTTAAGCGAATCCACATCTTCCTGCTGCCTTAAGTATGGCTTTCTGCAACTTGCAGACGTTGCCATTAAAGCAATGGCAGTCAACCATCAAGTCTCCAAGTCCCTTATTAGAAGATGAGTTTTTGCATAGCTGTCCACCGTCCTCATGTATAGTCCCAAATTCTAGAAGACAGTATCACTTCTGGGGTTAAACCAGTACAAAGCCCATCACTTTCTACCTGTCCTGATAGATTAGTTAGGAGAGACCAAGGACATTGGACAGACAGTCCCTCCTCTCATGCTCTCACCCAGGTGAGTGTAAGCGATACCACCTTGCTGTTGTACTGGTACCTACTGCCCCCGCTAAAGCTCTCACACCACCCAAACGACCCCTGTAGTGTGGCCTCTGGCTATGTCACCTTCCTTCAGACCCTGCACCTAACCTCACATACTCACTCCACCATCTTTGCACCCGGTGACCCAATGACTTCATCCTTTAACTCAGCCCTTCGTGGTGTGAGATGTCAGCTCTTAGAGCCCTAGGGGGCCTGGCTTGTCAGCCTTGGGGCTTATTCTGTAGAAGCTGTTCTATTTCTCACTTAGGGCTTCTAGTGCCCTCAATTATGAAACGGGAACCATTTGGGTCAGGAGTAGAAAATTGCCAATAGGACAACCTTCAGAAGTGAGGTGAAATGCTGAGAAGCATAAAGAATTCGGTGCTAAATGTGCACGTAAATGGAGTACCCTGCCCAGGAAAGGTAATTGTTTTTCATTGCAATAACTTGAAAATGGATATTTGGAGACGACCAAGTAGAGGTGCAGGAAGATGAAAATGTATGCTGAGCTGGAAGATTAATGTTTATAAGGTCACAGATGCTACAGAAGTGAATTTACAATTCGACAATCTTACACCTCTTACCAAGAATGTCAGAATTAGGAAAGTCTCACATAAGAGCTCTGAGGCCCTTAATGATGCAGGTCAGAGGCCCTTAATGATACAGAAGAAATAACAACTTTCCAATGTCCATGCTGTGCCTCTTGCCCGCAGGTCAGCAATTGCAGCCGGGCTGCAGGGCTACAACGGCACCCTGGTGGGAATACTCATGGCTGTCTTTTCAGACAAGGGCAACTATTTCTGGTGGCTGTTATTCCCTGTGTCTGCTATGTCCATGACTTGGTAAGTTATACCTGGTTTTCAAAATGCCTTAAAAAAAACATGTATAGGGCCAAGAGAGAATGGGGAGTTAGTGTTCAATGGGTACAGAGTTTCAGTTTTGCAAGATGGAAAATGTATGAATGGACAATAGGGATGGTTACACAACAATGTGAATGTGCTTAATGCAAGTGAACCTCACCCTTTAAAATGGTTAAAATGGTAAATGTTATTATATATTATATTATATATAAATATTATATATTATATATATATATATATAAATATGTATGTGTGTGATGGAGCCTAAAGATTTGCATCTCTAACTAGTTGCCTGGTGATGTGGCTGATCCAGGAACTACACTTTGAGAACCACTCTATGTGTGTGTCTATATGAACTCTCCCTACCCACCTGTCCCTGCTACCTTCAAAAAATTTATTTACTGAATTCAGTTCCTTTTTTTTTTTAAACCTAAATCCTTCAATCCTTCACACTAGTTCCTTAAACCTCCTCCCCCCTTTGTTGGAAGCAAACATTTCCTTCTTATTATGACATATTTAGGATTTAAAACACTGATAGCCACACAAATGAGAAGTGTGGCCCACTAAGGACAGTGTCTGCCGGGCCACCCACCCTGGCTTCAACCACAGGTGTGTGGGAGAGAACTTGCTGGTAGAGCCAACCTGTCCAGGAAGTAATTTCTGACCAGTTCTGAAGAACTGGCTGGAGGACGGAAGTTGTCCCCTGCAGTGCTCCCCACACCCTTTCCCATAACCTGGAGCTCTTGACCTTAGTGATGGGCCAACACGGGAGAGCACAAAAGAGGCCCAGAGACCATCTAATCTAATCCAGTCCCCCAGGCTACAGACAAGGAAGTGGAGGAGTAGTTCCTTGCCAAAGGTCACGAACTGCTAAAGCTGTTGCCCCCATCCTCCATCCCAATCTTCTTCCTCCAAGCCCACACCACCTTATATCCTCCCTTGGACAATTGTTTCTCTTCTTCAAAAACAGATATAGTAAACACAAAGATGATCTAGAAATTCAAGATGGTGGTCGCCTCTGGTGGGGAGGGAGGGGCATATGATCAAGTGGGTTGCACAGGGGGGCTTTAACCGTGTAGATAGTATTTTACTTCATGCTAAAATACTTCAAAAATATTTCTAAAACCTGGATTTCATAAGTCACTGTGAGAAACCCCAGAATATAATTTTTCAAAACCAAGTAAGCAAAGCATTCATTTTTGACCTTATGTAAGAATTATTCTCTGACAGGGTTTATTCCACGTGTGTTTATTTTTTTGTTTCATTTTGATTTTTCGGTTATCTTCCCTCCACCCCCCCCCCCCCGCCATGAAAAGTTTGTTGAAATAGTACTTTAGGGACATATTTGCCCAGGAGACAAAACCCCTCCATGGTGTAGAGATTCAGTGTCAACTGACTTGTCACATGCACGTTCTTCCATTCTGTTCTGTGGTTGTTGCTGTTGTCATTAGTCCAGTTTTCTCAAGCGCACTGAACTCCTTGTTCTGCAAATGGGACCTCCCCGTCTTCACCCTGCCCTTCAACATGGCATTGTCAATGTACCTTTCGGCCACGGGACATTACAATCCATTCTTCCCAGGCAAACTGTTCAAACCTATAACCGAGGTTCCCAATGTCACCTGGACTGACCTCAGTGCCCTGCAGGTAAGGTATACCATCTTCTCATATTCCTGCCTGGCTCTGGAAGACTCTGTGTCCTCCTGGCTAATTGTTCTTGGGCATCAGAGCCTTATGGAGACTCAGCTCTAGGGTGGCCTTGCTGCCTTCATCTTGCCCTCTGAACCATTTGTCCTGCTCCAAAGCTTTGGGCTCTAAGGGTTTGTGTATTATTGTTATTGAAGTATAGTTAACATACAGTGTTATATTAGTTTCAAGTGTACAATATAATGATTCAGCAATTCTATACATTACTCAGTGCTGATCAAGATAAGAGTACTCTTAATTCCTTCCACCTACTTCACCCGTCTCCCCACTCACCTCCCTCTGGTAACCACCATTTTGCTCTCTGTATTTGCATCGGGTTTTTTTGGTTTTTGGGTTTTTTGTTTTTTGTCTCTTTTTTCTTTGTTCTGGGGTTTGGGGATTTTTTTTAATTTTTTTTTTTAATGTTTATATTTGAGAGAGAGACAGAGCATGAGCAGGGAAGGGGCAGAGAGAGAGAGAGGACACAGAATCTGAAGTAAGCTCAAGGCTCTGAGCTGTCAGCACAGAGCCTGATGTGGGCCTCAAACTCAGAGACCACGAGATCATGACCTGAGCTGAAGTTGGACACTCAACCAACTGAGCCACCCAGGCACCCCTGTTCTAAGGGTTTTTTTTTTAATGTTTATTTATTTATTTTGAAAGAAAGAGAGTGGGGGAGGGGCACAGAGAGGGAGAGAGAGAGAGAACCCTAAGCAGGCTCCCCACTGTCAGTGCAGAGCCCAACATGGGGCTCAAACCCACAAACTATGAGACCATGACCTGAGCCAAAGTCAAGAGTCACTTAACCAACTGAGCCACCCAGGCACCCCTCTAAGGGGTCTTTTAAATGACTGCTCAAAGCTAACTTTTCCTCCTCTTTTCCCAAAATCCACTCCAGAGTATAGCTCTGTTTCAAAGTCGGAGTCAAAGGCTGTTTCAAACTTTGGGTGGGTGTGTTGGGGGCCATCCTTTGAGGCAAGGCCTCCAGCCTGGAGTTAAGGCTTCCATGATCTGGCTCCTCTGATCAAAAGAATTTGTTCCTTCCATTAGATCTCATTACAGAACCTCTCTATTCTGCTTTTTCGTTTGGCAGATCTCACAGAATATGTAATTCATGGTTCTCAAGCTTTGGTAGGCATCAGAATCATTGTTTGTTTCTTTTTTAAATACCAGTACAAGCCCCATCTCAGACTCTCTAAATCCTAATCTCTGGGCATAGAGTCTGGGAGCCTGTATTAACAAGCTTCCCAAATAACGGTGATGTAGGCCAGAGTTTGAGAACTGCTATCATAAGATGTATTCTATGTATCTCTTTACAGATGTGCACAAAAAGAGCACCTTTTTAAAAAATCTGGTTGACCCAGGGGTGCCTGGGTGGCTCAATTGGTTAAGTATCTGATACTTGATTTTGGCTCACAGTTTGTGAGTTCAACCCCCACATCAAGCTCTGTGTTGACAGTGTGGAGCCTGCTTGGGATTCTCCGTCTCCCTCTTGCTCTGCTCCTCCCCCATTTGTGCTTATGCTCTCTCTCTCTCTCTCTCTCTCTCTCTCTTTCTCTCTCTCTCTCTCTCAAAAATAAACATTAAAAAATAATAATAAAAATAAATTAAAAACCTGGTTAACCCAAATCACATTCCAGCTCTTCCTGTTGGTGTTTATTTAATAACTCTGTTTAAGGTTTCTTGACTATTAAAAACAAGAGAACACTTAAAATCAGAAGAGGGGCGCCTGGGTGACTCAGTCAGTTGGGCATCCGACTTCAGCTCAGGTCATGATCTCACAGCTTGTGAGTTCGAGCCCCGGGTCGGGCTCTGTGCTGACAGCTCAGAGCCTGGAGCCTGCTTTCGATTCTGTGTCTCTCTCTCTCTCTGCTCCTCCCCTGCTCACACTCTGTGTGTGTCTTTCTCTCTCTCAGAAATAAATACACATTAAAAAACACTTTTTTTTTAAATCAGAAGAAAACTACCACCTTTTATGATGTGAAAAAGACTGGCTTTCCCACTATCAGGTTATGAAACCCCATTTGCCGTCCTCCTTGCTGAGCGATCAAAACATGTGAAGAGCTCAGGCAGGCTTTTCTGTACATTCTTGCCCAGAAAATAAATAGGAGCGTTTGGAAATAACCCAAAAAGAAAATCAAATGTTTATTCGAATCCCCTGTGAAAAATATTATAAATAATGTTAAGTAATCTATCTAAAATGTCCCTGTCCAACATAGTAGCCATTATCCCCATGTGGCTATTTTAATTTAAATTTGAAATTCATTACAATTAAATGAAATTAAAAATTCGGTTTCTTAGCCTCACTAGCCACATTTCAGGTGCTCAGTAGACACACGTATTGGGCAGCACACATATGGAATATTCCACCTCCGTGGAAGTCCTGCTGGATAGTGCTGATCCGCAGAGGTAAGGGTCTTGCTCTTCTCACTATGAACTACCGCCCCAACATCAGCACCCTTATTTCCCATCTCACCCAGATTCTCCCTCCTGGGCTACCCAGGGGATAGTTCTGCTGTCCGGTTCTGAGATGAAAGCCCAAGTAGTCTTTGCCCGCATCAAGTTCCCTGCTCTAGAGAAACAGGAAATGATTTCGCGTAGACATGAAAATCCAGTGTGGGCTGGAAATGTTAAGGTCCATCTTAGGATAGACTCAAACTCACAGTATGGTCCCGTGCTCTGAGCAAGGACTGATGCAGCATTTGGAAGCCAGCATTAGTTCCAGCCTAACGCGTGAAGGGAGAGGGCAGTTCCCCGTGCAGAGGCAGAGCCCCCTGTGTCAGAGTCACTGCTTCCCCAAGGCCCCCAGAAGGTACACATGTGACCTAGAGAAGACGGAGGGAGCAAGATGGGAAGGCATCTTTCAGTAAATGGTCTTGGTCACAAAGGAACCTAGAGTGGCTAATTATGCCTATCCTGGACCTACCGAATGTGTTGCTATAAAATGCTATTCACATTTGTTAGCTTAAATCAAACCCTGTCCCTTCCCGAAAACTGCCATTCTGTGAACACATGAGCTGAATTCAGGCCTCGGCCAGAAAGTAGAAATGTACATGTATTACGTGTAAATTTACATGACATTTACATGTATTTTTGTGGGGTTTTTTTGCACTGACTGGCAGTTGTTGATAACTGGAATAAGCTAAGGATATTCTGGTTTAAATAAATACATGTTCTCATTAACAGCAGAAGTGTCAATAGGGTCCTGATTCATGAACTTGCTGATAATTGCTTCTGAATTATGGATAAGAGAACCCGACTCTGGGTCTCTGGCCTTAACAACCCAATTGCAAGGGAGCAATGGTACTTCTATTGACCACAGTGTGCACTGATGTATTAGGCCTGAGAACCAATGGACAGTTAAAAGCAACACAAGTGTAAGCTGTGAGGCAGTGACTCCACCTGGGAGCTTAGCAGCCAAAGCCACCGTGTCAGTGCAGCAACAGAGCCCCAGAGTGAAGGGGGTTCTAGGAAGGTGTGCTCAGTATGCAGCAGGTATGGGCTGGTGCATCTTTTGGGATAAAGCAAAAGTGTGAGGTTTTTCTGTAAAGAGAGAGAATTTTTAAAAAGGCGGGGGGTGGGGGTAGGGTGATGGTACCTGGGTGGGCCAGTTGGTTGAGCACCCGGCTCTTGATTTCGGGTCAGGTCCTGATCCCGGGGTCATGGGTTTGGCTGGGGCCCCACATGAGGCTCCATGCTGAGCGTGGAGCCTGCTTAAGATTCTCTCTTCCTCCCTCTGCCCCTCTCCCCCACTTGCACGCACTCTCTCTCTCTCAAATTAAAAAAAAATTTTAATTAAAAAAATAAAAAAATTAGTCACACTGATCCAAAAGACAAGCCCACTCTACCATTGCCTTGTATGTGTTTGTAGGTGTCTGTTCAGCTGTTTTAATGACCTCCTTCTCTAAATGGCTTTGCAGCTATTGAAATCCCTGCCCGTGGGTGTCGGTCAGATCTATGGCTGCGATAACCCATGGTCGGGGGGCATTTTCCTGGGCGCCATTCTGCTCTCCTCCCCGCTCATGTGCCTGCACGCTGCCATCGGGTCGCTGCTGGGGATAGCGGCAGGTAAGCCTGAGACGGGCAATGGGATATCGAGCACCTCCTCTGCTGCATGCACCCCCTCCGGCGTCTTCCATGCTCCAGACCTTTCTTGAGAGCTCTGCTTCCAAGAACTCCCTTGGTGCCTCCCCCACCCCTAACCTCCTTCCAGAGCATGCTGCCTTTTGTCCACAGCTGTGACTCCTTCTGTCTTACCTAACAGGACTCAGTCTTTCAGCGCCATTTGAGAACATCTACTTTGGACTCTGGGGTTTCAACAGCTCTCTGGCCTGCATTGCAATGGGAGGGATGTTCATGGCACTGACCTGGCAAACCCACCTGCTGGCTCTTGCCTGCGGTGAGTATACTGTACCTCGGAGGGAGGCTCGCTCATAACCATGGGATCAGCCCAAACAGTAAGATATGACTATGTCAGGAACTGGGGCAAGGGTTCCAGTTTGGGCCCTGGCTTTCTGCGTATGTGAGCAGGGCAGGTGTCTTCCTCTCTCTGGGAGGATTAAGCCCTGCTGGGGCCTCCTCATGGGTTATCGTGAGGACAGGAGAGCCTGTTGAGCCATATTAAACATTTGCCTTATGTATGTGTTGGGGGATAGAAACTTGACTCGTCCTATGTTCTTCATACTAGTCGTTGACCCAAGAAACAGCTATGTTCTTCAGACTAGTCGTTGACCCAAGAAACAGTAATAAAATGAGTCAAGCTAAACACAGAGCCATCTCTCCTGGTGAGTCAGGCAGGACTACATGTGGCCCTTTGAGAATCACAGGAACCAGCTGTTCTCACACTTTGGGGAGTGTCAGGATCACCTGGAAGTCTTGTTAAAACACAGATGGCTGCCCCCCTTCCCCAGTCCCTGATTCGTCGTTAGAGGCGGGGGAGGAGTTGGCGTCTCTAACGAGGGCCAGGTGACACTGATGCTATTCCTCCAGGGACCGCATTTTCAGATCCGCTGTATTCATCCGTTCGGACCCCCATATTCCAGCCAGACTCCTCCTGTCAGAGCCAGATGGTTCTGGAGATCCCCACACCTTCCTTCTCATTTTACTACTGGGGTTCTGAGGCCAGAGAAGTGAAGTGATGTGCTGAAGGGCATCCCGTCAATTAGGGTAAATTCAAGCCCGGAATCTACATTTGGTAACAACTTCTGTAATTCCCCTACCCTACTCTGTTCCCAGTGGCAGCATGCAGGCCTTTAAGAGAACACACCTCAAGTGATATAGATTTGAAAAGCTAACGGATTTCTCAGGCCCTTGTAAAGTGGAGACATATTTGCCCAGAGCCTCTGGCATCCCTAATTCAATACGAAGTAAAAAGTAAGATAATGTATTAGAGTGTAGGGATACTGGGGTATCCCTGGGTGATACTGGGGAAGGGTGGAATGTGCAGAAATTATCTGTAATCTAATGTAAATACTTGTGTAGAGTCAGTTTATCACCAGATTAATCAATCCAAGTTACCTACACCGCTATTAAAATGGTGGACCACATACACACACGTAATGGAATACTACTCAGCCATAAAAAGGATGAAATCTTGCCACTTGCAACAACATGGGTAGACCTTGAGGGCATTATGCTAAATGAAACAAGTCAGAGAAAGACAAATATCATATGATGTCACTTACAGGTGGAATCTAAAAACACAAAACAAAGCAAAACCCAGACCCATAAGTACAGAGAACAGATTGGTGGTTGCCAGAGAGGAGGTGGATTAGGAGCATAAATGGATAAAGGGAAGTACAAACTTCCAGTTATAAAATAAATAAGTCATGGGGGGTGTAATATACAACATGAGGAATCTAGTCAATAGTATTGTATTAACTTTGTGCGGTGATGGACGGTGACTTTACTGAGGTGAGCATCTCACAATGTATGCAAAGATGGAAACACTATGTTATACACCTGAAACTAATATAAGATTGTATGTCAATGATACCCCAATTAAAAAAAAATAAGATAATAAAATAAAAGGGTAGACCACATGTCAGGCAGAGAATTTAGAATGGATTCCTGTACTGGGCAGGAAGCAGGACCAAGGATTTCTAAGGCCTCACTCAATTTTAATTTTCTGATGCTGTAGTGAAGTTAAAAAATCTCAGATTGTTGTGGTGTTGCCACTTTACATGTCATTTTGCCAATTTCCTTATAGTACACAGCTGTTTCACCAACTAGTCCTGTCAAACTTTTTGCTCATTTTCCCGTATTTGTTCATAAGCTTAGGGCAAAGGAGAAAACTGATTACGTGTCACCTGAGGTAGGCCAGGTTAGAAGCTTTACTATGAGATTCTTTGAGATTTCAAATCTTTTTTTTTTTTTAAGTTTATTTTTGAGAGAGAGAGAGAGAGAGAGAGAGAGAGAGAGAGAATCCCAAGCAGGTTCCACGCTGTCAGCACTGAGCCCAACATGGGCCTCGATCCCACAAACGATGAGATCGTGACCTGAGCCGAAACCAAGAGTCCGACACTTCACTGACTGAGCCAGGCGCCCTGAGATTTCAAGTCTTTATTCAAGGGGCTTACATTTATGTTTCTGTGTGGGCGGTGATAGAAAATACATATTAAACACTCATGAAACCCACGTGGCCATGGCCGGATATGATGTATCTGAACTTCCTTCCAGACAGTACTGGGAAGACCTAGGGGGTTAGCAACTTTAGATCCAGAAATTCCTGTGCGCAGAGTGTTATGGTCAAGGGCAGAAGCCAGGTGGGTGAGAGCAAGCCCACTGGAGACCATACGATATCTGTGACAGAACAAGGACACATCTGCAGTACCAGATTCCCTGGGGGCACATGACAGTGCAGAATCATCAAGAAGCACCTCCTAGGGGCGCCTGAGTGGCTCAATTGGTTAAGTGCCCCACTTCGTCCCAGGACATGATCTCACGGTTCATGGGTTTGATCCCTGCGACGGGCTCTGTGCTGACAGCTCAGAGCCTGGAACCTGCTTTGGATTCTGTCTCTCCCTCTCTCTCTGCCCCTTCTCTGTTCTCACTCTGTCTCTCTCTCTCAAAAATAAATAAACATTAAAAATAAATTTAAAAAAAATAAAAAAAAAAGAAGCACCTCCTAGACACGGTGGCTTTTCTGTATGTCCTAAAATTGAGAGAAGGAAGTCCTGTTGGTGGAGGCAATCTGACTGGATGGTCGGGGCCAGCATGGGGACAGCCTGAGTACATCCTTCAAGCTCAAGCAGAAACTGTTTTTGGTCACACGAGTTGTTGCTGAGATCTTGACAGACTGTGGAAAGGGATGAGGCCAAGATGTTAGCAGATGGGTTTCCTCAAAGCAGGAATATCTTCATTATTTTCTTCACTATAGAAGTAAAGTAGTATGGGCTTATGGTACCAAAAAAAAAAAAAATCGATAAATACAGAAGAGTATAAAGCAGAGTGTAAAAAGACTCCCTCCTGCTCCCTCAGTGTAACTTTTTGCCTCCCTCTTATAAGGACCTCGGGTTACGTTGGGTCCACTTGGATAACCCACACTCATCTCCCGGTCTCAAGATCATTAACCTAATCACAGCTGCAAAGCTCCTTTTGACAGATAAGGTAACATATTCACGGGTTCTGGGACTAGAGCGTGAACGTCTTTGGGGGCCGTGACTGTGCCTATCACGCCTACCTTCCTTTGGACAGGTCAGATTTTCTTTAATGGCGTAGTGTAATGGATGAGGCAACGTACTGAATTAGTTGAGAACCCAGACCCTCTGCCACGTCCTAGCTCTGCCAAGTTTAACTTCAGTAGATGCCACGTTCAATAGATGCCTTCCCCCAGGGGCCATCCCGCTTTCCCCTGCCACCAGTGGTGTGTGAGAGGGCACGTTTCATCCACACTAGGTACTGGCCACCCTTTCCCTCTTTGGACATAAAGTTTTGAGGCAGACCTCCAGCTTGCCCACGTCACCCTGACCCTGCCAAACCAAAGACTGACTCGGCCAGCCAAAGTAAATAAAGAACAGACATTCATTACAGAGTTGCTCTTTCATTAGATCACATGGCCTTCTCAGCAAGAGGACCCGGGAAGCTCTGACAGGGCCCGGCACTGCTGCCTTCCCTGCCTCGACACCGGAAGCTGCCCACCAAGGAATTCCTCGGTCTTGTTATTTTATCAGTGCAAACTGTAAACACATTTCGTCTCCTTTTAATGCTTGGCTTGTCACAGTAGGACTTGTACACGGTGGCCTGTGGGGACGGACATTGCCGGCCCTTCAGCTCTCGGGGCCTCTCCTCTCCCTCTGCTGCCCAGAGCTCTGTCAGAGTCATCACCTACAAACTGTGGTGTGCAGAATGTCACCTCTACCGTAAGGCTTTCCCAGTCTGATTCAGCAAATCTTAATGGATGGGCAGTTACTGTTATGCACTCTGACTCTTACTATGGGGAGAAAAGTGACTTGTAATTGGAGAGCACCTGGAAACCGCCTAACAGTAAGAAACCAGAGCAATGCCTTCCAAATGTAATAAGTATCAAATGGAGAGAAGTGGCAATGAGTCTCAGGTGCTCAGGGGACATCTCCTAGAAGAGCCGGCGCCCAAGGGAGCAAGGACAGAATGTTCCGGTACTTGCTCAAGTGCCGGTGAATATTTGTTGAATGAGTGAGTGAGTGAATGAACGAATGAAATAGAAAAAAAAAGAATGAAATTCTCAAAACCCAACAAAAAAGCTCTTCCAACCCAAGCTGTTGCTGGCTTCTGCTCAGATCAGTATCTCACCCCCCAGGGACAGGGATGGGTTTGAGAGCTGCTCTTTGTGGAAATACAGGATTGCATGTGAGATCCGTCTCCTCCCTGTAAAGAGCATCTTCAAGTTGCCCTTTGACAAATGATAAAACCAGATTCCGAAGTTCAGGGATTTGTTGTACAATTAAATGGCAGAGCTGGGGTTTGAAGCTTGTCTTTCCAAGACACGCCTTTCCCGCTAGCTGGAGACAATTCAGATGTTGAAAGACATACTGTTGAACAAAAATACCAGGACAAAAAGACCAAAGATTGATACAAGGTTGGAAGTCTGTGGTAAAGTAAATGAGGGAGGGAGTCCCTCCGCCCCCACTTCCTGCCCCGCCTCATGGTGGCTGTGTGATTTCTCCTGCTTTGGGGCAGTGGATGGTGGGTGTGCCTACCGGTGAGTGCTGCTGGGCCAGGTGGCTGTGTGGCCAGCTTATGAAGGTCATTCTGCAGCCTGCCTTGGTGAAACCCAAGGGCTTCCCTGAGCCTTCTTGAGTCCCACCTCCCCCCACCTTCAACTGATGATTAGCTACTTGAGAGCTTTGTTTTTGTTGTTTCACATTGAAGGTCACAGATATACTCAAACTGCTACTTTAAGATTTGCGCTTGCTCAGAGTAAATAAAAACGTAGCATGTTAGTTCATTAGCCCGTATGCCGATCTTAATGGTATTTGGAAAAATGTTATGGGGAGAAATCCCAAGTTTGTGTTCCGTTTCTACTGATCTCTGAGTTAGCATCTGTTTTTTTATACCACAAGTGTTTCTAACTGTGAATTCTAACCAATACGAGAATCCTTGTGATCGTACAGAAACCGTGCTATCCGAAGAAACATTCATACTTTTCATTTTAGTCCAACCATGCTCAGATAAAATAACAGGGAAGTTTATTGGCCATGGAAAGCCTTTTCCTTAAGGATCAGCAGTAACATGAACCAAATAGTAATCACAGAAAAGCTACCTTTACTGAGTACTTCTTTTAAATTTTTTTTAATGTTTATTTATTTTTGAGAGACAGAGCATGAGCGGGGGAGGGGCAGAGAGAGAGGGAGACAGAATGTGAAGCAGCCTCCAGAATCTGAGCTGTCACAAGAGCCTGATGTGGGGCTCAAATCCATGGACCTCGAGATCATGACCTGAGCCAAAGTCGGGCGCTTAACCGACAGAGCCACGCAGGCACCCCTACTGAGTGCTTCGTACTGCATGCTAAACCCAAGTACTACCTGCTTTCGTGTCACACCAACCCCGTGAGAAAGGAATTCCTATTCCCTCTATTGTGCAGGTGAGAAAGTGAAGGCTTAGAATGGAGGCCACCAAGCTCCTAAGTGGTGGAGTCTGGATTTGAACCCAGAGCTGCCGACTCTAAGCTCATAATTATAACCAGGGTGCTGGGCTGGCTGGAAAAACATGGAAGTTTCCTTTCCAGGGGATTTATACCAGAAGGCAGTCTTCCCTGTAATGAGAAGTGCACCTACTAAGTGCTGTGGTTCCCCTTTGTTTGTAGCCCTGTTCACTGCCTACCTTGGAGTCAGCCTGTCACACATGATGGCTGTGGTGAGTTTGCTTTAATCTTGCATTGTCGTAACATGATTGATCAGTTTTTGATGATATGGAAACCCTCCCGAGGTCCCCCTGGGTGGTGTCCCATGCAGGATCCATGGCTGTGATAGCCACTACTTTCTCATCTCCTGGACCTGCCTGTCCCCACTCACCTTGTAGCTTCTTCGTGAATTATAATCCAAACTACAATCACCAGGCTTGCTAAAAATATCAGATTGATAATTTAAAGAAGTGAAACTTAGGCTGTAGAACATATTTATCAAGTTCATATTCTAACTCTGAGTGTCAGGGAATTGACCTTAGAATATCTTCTACTTGAACAGAAAGCCAAGACCATGTGGTGGTTGAGAAATCAGGAAAGAGAGAAAAATATAATTGGCTAATGACCCAGATGGTGCTGTTTTTTGTTTTGGGTCAAGCCATTAGTTTTTCATACCCCATGTCTTTTTTTTTTTTTTTTAATTTTATGTTAGAATGAGAGAGAGAAAGAGAGAGCAGGGAAAGGGCATAGAGAGAGAGAGAGAGAGAATCCCAACTCAGGGCTCAATCCCATGACCCGAGCCGAAATCAAGACTTGGATGCTTAACCGACTGAGCCACCCAGGTGCCCCACACCTTGTCCTTTTTTAAATCTCCATCAGTCGTAAGACTTATTCAGACTCACATCCTGGCTTAAGTATTTAAAAATTTTTTTTGATGTTTTATTTATTTTTGAGAGAGAGAGAGAGAGACCAAGCCCATGAGCAAGTGAGGGGCAGAGAGAGAGGGAGTCACAGAATCCAAAGCGGGCTCCAGGCTCTGAGCTGTCAGCAAAGAGCCTGACGCAGGGCCCAAACTCGTGAACCGTGAGATCATGACCTGAGCAGAAGTCGGACACTTAACCAACTGAGCCACCCAGGTGCCACCCCTGCTGAACTATTTAATAGGCAAAACCATCTCCCATTTAGTGGCTCCTGCCCCTCTTTTTCCTTCCTTTTCAGCACTATCCTGCCCTTGACCTTCTCTTTCAGAACTGCATGAGTTGCCAAGAACAGCCCAGAGGAAGGACCTCCCCTCAAGGAGCTTAGAATCTATTTGGGAACTGGAACAAGAGGAAGGAAAGCCAGTAGAGTCCAAAACTAGTCTGGGTGGAAATCGGGAGGAGAGACGGCACCACAGGCTGAACTCAGCAAAGAGGGCCCTGTGGGTGTGATGAGGGTCAGGAGACATTGGCGGCTTGCTAAGTGACATCTCTAGGTGCCCCGTGGCATAGGAAGCCCACTGTATGAAAGGAAGGGAAAGATGTACAAGGTGGACAGGCAAATGACCACCCTAAGAAGCAGATGAGGGCATTTCACCTGCTAAATACCCTGGGATCTTGGACTCCATCTTGGGCATTAGTGGAGCCTGGGTCAGTGCTCCAGGGATGCATCCCCCTGGGCTGAATGAGAATAGGATGAAGGGTGGTACTTTGTGACAGGATCTCAGAGGAGCATGTGCCTTGTGTCTTCCTCTTCAGGTGGGATTGCCAGCTTGTACCTGGCCCTTCTGTTTGGCCACACTACTGTTCCTCTTGCTGACCACGAAAAATGCCAACATGTACAGGATGCCCCTCGGTAAAGTCACTTATCCTGAAGAAAACCGCATCTTCTACATACAAGCCAAGAAAAAAAGGATGGTTGAAAGCCCTTTGTGAGAGCAACCCCACCCACAGCCATGGTCACAAGGGGTGGCTGACCGACTGCCCCAGGTGACCCCCAGGGTCTTGGCAAACTGCTGTTTTTTGCCTTTAACGACTTTCGTACTACTAACCCATTGGCGATCTGCTCTTAGGCTCACTTTGTAGCTTTCTCTTAGACTCCAGGAGCATCCCCAAACATGTGAGAGACCAGATGGTGTGCCCTGGTGGGGCGTTGGTGCTAAGACTAATATATTTATAAGGTCAAGTGCTCCAACAGAACGAAGATGTGAGACCAGAGCTAATGATTGACATTTATTGATATTCTTGGTGTTTGGTTAGGCTACGTGATGTTAACAGTATTAAAAATTAAGCTCTACAACTAAGCCTCAAGTGAATGGAATTCATGGTCACAAAGTCAAAGTCAACCCAGAATTCTCAGATAAGCAGTGTGACTTGTTTGAAATCGATACAAGTTACACATGACAGTGGTAGTGCCCACAGCTCATGCCCCAGCCCCTCAGCAGAATGGCCTGGATCCTGCCCTGTGTGGGTGGGATTCTCTTACGGGAGATGGGCTGATTCTTTCCAGGCGGACACAGCTGTAGGAGAGAGAAAGGGATTTTATCAGTCAAAATTATTCTGGAATGTTATTTTTCTTAGACATGGCAAAGGATTTTTTTAGATAAGGTTTATTATCTTTTTCTTATGAGAATGCATTTGTGTTTCCAATGAGGTAAAATAAGAGAAGTTCCTGGCTTAACCAGTTCCTAGATATTAAAGAAAAGTTACATTTTTATGAAATATTCGGCATAGCTGTTTTCACTTTAATCCACATGTTGATTTTGTAAATGCCAGGAACGTGTAGAACCAAGTTATCAGCATCCAAGGGTCCTTTAACGCCACAATTTGCCATCCATTTGGGATGTTTTACATGTTATAAAGCCTGAAAGTTAAGTTCAGATTGTTTCTGGATGCTTGGAAGTTGTTGAATTTCTTTAAAAAAAAAAAAAAATTTCATGAAAAAAAAAAGTCATTATTATCTGCACACTCAAAATATTCTCACTCAGAACCCAAAGGTAAAGGGTTCTCCTGTTTTTCTTTGTTTTAATTTTAAAGTCATCAGTCCTATAAACATCCTATAACCAAACACACTGAGGATGCCATAGAAAGTGCCACTCGCTACCTTCCGCTGAATCTGTACGGATTCAGTGTTTTGGAGGATTCGGAAAGAGAAACCGTGGAATCCTAAAGGGTTTTTCCCCCCTGTGGGTTTGCAGTGCTCGGTGCGAAATATTTAGGTTGTGCAGGAATAAACAGAAGAAGGGAAGCCAACCTAAAATATTTCAGGGAGAAGTCCACTTCTTCCTTTTCTCAGGAAAACAAACATTGTTCTGATTTAACAACCCTGTGACCAAAGCCTTTTGAAACCCTGAATCTGCAACTGTCATAGAGTCATGTGGAAAAACTAAATCTTCACCGTGCGAACGGAAATCTCCCTTGTTAGGGAATTTGTGAAATAAGACTTGGTGGGAGGGCAGGGGAGGAGGACTCAAAAACGAAAGCAGAACCAAAGATAAACCAGGAGAGAAGAGTCCAGGCTGTGGTTGAGTGAACCAGAGCCTCTGACATGCCTCCAGGCCCATCTTCACAGGAGCTGGAGTGTTCTCCGTATACCTTCTGCTGGTGGGCTCACACAGGCGTGTAAATAGGAACATTCTAAAGCCTTGTACATGGCCGAATTTAAATGGTATTAATTTTTTCAAGCTGTTTTTGTTACTAAGTGTTACCCTGAAATGAAGTGAGTATTTTGGTAGTTTCCTCAGGGATCACTTGGATTCTTTTCCTATTGTTTGTATAACAAATTTCTAGGTAAGAATATGAATAAAATTATACTCACAGCTCAGTTTTGTACCGATTCTGTTTAAAAGTCACCTATGCCTTTTATAGCTATCGTGTGTGTATATTAACAATCACATGCATAATTGTGTCTTGCTTATATGGGCTTATGTTTTGATGTGCTGGTATCCTGATTCCTTTCTTCTACTTGGTAACAGCACCAGACGTGCCTCTGAGCAAACCCTGTTCAAGTCAGATATATGGGCCCATCCCTGTGGGTCTCCTCTCAACTACACATCGTTCTCCCCACTCAGGGTTGAGACTGGATTACTGAGGATAGCCATGGACGTTCAGGACATGCTCCTAAGACTTTAAGATGAATATCCCGCCAGGCAGCTCCAGGCATCCCATCCGGACCCTCGGTACCCCACCAGGACTGGGCCTCAGGGGGCAGCATTCTGGGAGGAACTACTTCTCAGAACGTTGCCCCTGAAGGGGAAGCAGTGCTTGTCTCTGAAACCTGCCTTCAGAGACCGCTCTCCCACCTCCCTTCATCCACGGTTAGCGTGTTTGAAAGAAAACCTGGTAAGAATGGAAATTCACTCCAACCTTCAAAGGCAGTCCGAACAAGAAATAGAAGAAGGCCACAGTAGATTAGCCACATTGGAATGCCTTCTGTCAAAACAAAACCTCTTCTACCTATTGTTTCAAGATGATAAATATACAAGAGTGATCTGGTCATTAAATGCCCCCTTTGGTCTTCGGTAGAAAACAGAGAAAAGGTTTTAAGGCTCTTCAGCTAAAGACTCCAAATGCTAAATAGTTACCTATGACATCTGATTAGCATGAAATATGTTGAGATAGGAGGTTAAGTTCAAGATCAGGATTTTCCAAGGGGGGCCTCTTACAGACAATCTTGCAGAAATATCTTTGAGGTTGTTAAGTATAGCAAAATGTTTTATGCATATGAATGTTTTCAGCCTTCCTTTTATCTAACAACCTCCTTCCAAAAGGCTTTCATCTTTAGAGTAAAATCTCCTTTTTTTTTTTTTAATTTATTTATTTTGAGAGACAGAGAATGCACATGGGGCAGAGAGGGAATCCCAAATAGGCTCCATGCTGTAAGCACAGAGCCTGAGGCTGGGCTCGAACCCAGGAACAGTGAGATCATGACCTGAGCCAAAATCAAGAGTCAGATGCTTAACCAACTGAGCCACCCAGGTGCCCCTAAAATCTCCTTCTTGAACCTGCTTTGACAATCCCCCCAGAACATTAGAAGGCTTATAATTTCAAGGCTACAGAGTGCCATTTGCTAAAACAATTAGCTATATAGATCCTGAAGGAATTTAAACAAATATAGTAAATAACAGACTTTTAAAGAAGTGGATTTAAATTCTCTATAGTCTGCTTTCACAGCTCTTAAAATCGAACTATAAAACACACGTAGTAGATCAAAGCTGACATGTGAAATCGTCTAAACGACTGCTCCAAGGTCTGACCTTAACCTTACTAAATATTAACCAGATAGGTGTTAACATAGCTAAAGCAACCTTACATCTGAGGGAGACCAGGTCAGCCACTGAAGCTTAGGAGTTGAAGGCAGACACAGTTGGGGGGGGGGGGGCCCCCAGCACGGGGAGTAGTGGTCTAGGAACAGGTGTCTAGGGAGACCCTTGTGGTAGAAATGGGCACACTGGAGGAATCATGGCTTAGCAAATATAATCATTTAGATCAAGCAGCTAATGTTCCTTGTCTGAGCCCGTACTCACAAGCTATTTGGTTTCCTATGTAGATTTGCCTTCTAGGGGAAACAATGCACTTGTCCATACTCGTGAATTCCTGACCCTGGATAGTTACAGTTCTCATTTTAATTAATAATTCAAGTTTGATAATAGGGGTTTTTTAAGTTGTTTTTTTCTTTGTTTATTTGGTTGGTTGGTTGGTTAGTTGGTTGGCTTTTTTGCCCATACATGTCACCAAAAGCCAAATCACCCCATGGTGTTCCAACAAACTTAAATTTCTGAGGCTACAAAGGTGCATGGGGTCGGGGGTATGTGAGGTTGTGAGGTTTAGGCCAAGACCTAGAGTCGACCAGAGATGGGCAGGTGGAGGAAGCTGGAGGATGGAGAGAGCAGTGTTCTTGGCAGATGGAAGCTCATGCAGAAAGGTCTTGAGACAAGGATTGGTGCTTTCAAGGAGTGAGAGAAGGGGCACCTGGGGGGCTCAGTCGGTTAAGCGTCTAACTCGTGGTTTCAGCTCAGGTCACGATCTCATGGTTTCGTGAGTTCGATCCCCACATCTGGCTCTACGTCGGCAGCATGGAGCCTGCTTGGGATTCTCTCCCTGTCTCTCTCTCTCTCTCCCTCTGCCCCTCCCTTGCTCATGCTGTCTCTGTCTCTCTCAAAAAAAAAAAAAGAAAAGAAAAAGAAAAATAGGAGTGAGAGAAGACTGATGTGGCGGGACTACAGTGAGTGAAAGGGCTTGGAGTGGATTCAGGAAACCAAGCAGACCACTGCAGTAGTGCAGGAGAGATGTGATTTGGCTTGAACTCTAGTGGTAGCAGGGGGATGGAGAGAAGTTTATGGGGGTGAGAGACAAGAAGTGGAATCATGGTAATGGATTCACGTGGGAAGGGAGGGAGAGGGAGGTGTCAAGGATGACTTCCCGAATTCTCACTTGGGTAACAAGGTAGATGGCAGTGCCACACAATGAGATGGCAGCACCCAAGAATCACTTCTCTCATGCTATACATCTTCCCGTCCAATCCCATCTCTCCAGAGCTTCAATCCAGACCTGGTGTTCAACCGTCTATGGGGACTGTTCCAAAAGTATCCATCTCAACACATGCAGGGCAAAACTCATCTTCTTCAATGACTCTGCTCTCCACCCTGTACTGACTTACAAGGTAGCACCCTCTCGCCAACCATACAATCCAGAAACAGTTCATCATCCTTAGCTTCATTCCCTCACCTCTAGGCAGTAGCCAAATTCTAAGGATCTTACCTCCTTGAAAGCCCCCATTGGCTCACGAATTGGCAAATATTTGTTGAATGACTATCATATGATGGAACTGGGCTTCCATAGTGAACCAGTCAGTCATGGCCTCTGCTCTCACAGAACTTTATGAGGTGAACTGACCAGTAAATGAGGAAAGGGAGTAGCATGATGATGAGGATGTAAGAGGTAGCTGGCCAACGAGGTTGAAGGAACAGTGTTTCAGTGACTTCCTCCTTCTAAGAAACAGAAGACAAGAATATATCACTAAATGCCAGGCATCCATACCAGTAGGCATGCTTTTGGCAGCAAGTAAGAGAATACCTGCCCAAAAGTACTTTAAACAACAGTAGTTTCATTCCTAAAAGTAGAACGTTCTGCTCCAAGTTTGGTGCAGCTGCTCAGTGATGTCATCAAGGATGCAGTCTCTTTCTATCCTCCTCCTCTTTCGCAGCATCCTCAGAAGACTTCATTTTCATCCCTGGGCTTGTTACTTCACGGTCCCAAAACAGCTGCCTTGTTACAAACCTCACAACCACATCAGGAAGAAGGAGGCAACCAGAGTTGCAAGACAGTCATTCTTTCATGTCTCTCTCTCTTTATCAGGGAGGAAAATCTTTCCCAAAACGCTTTAACTTGTGTCTTTTTGGCATAAAAGGGTCATAAGGCCATTCCTGGCTGCAAAGGAGTCTGTAAAAGCATGCATGTGGCATTGTCAGCCCCTACTATAGCAGGTGAGCTCCGCCATATTGCAGGGAACGCAGGAAGAATGGCTATTGGACAAGCAGATAAACATGTCTGCCACAGTGGTACAGAGTATACAATACCACACAGTATACAGTACCGTCGTGCCCAGACCACACGGAAGAGAGCTATGTGGTGACAGACAAGATTATCTATTGTGGGATTTACAAAGGGGGTTGGGACAGAGACCCTAAACCAAGACCTTTTACGCAGAGATGCTTTGTGGAATAGTTGCTGGAATATTCCCAGAGTACTTTAGGATACCCCAGCTTCTGACTAACAAGAATCTTGTAGCCTCTGACTAACAAGATGCTAAGCAAAAGGTGAGGCAGCCAGTGATACTGACCAGAGCAAGGAAAGTTTAGGGTCAATTCATGTTTTAATTAGCCCTCTCGATCTAACAGTTGAAGCTTCTAAATCATTCCATGTCAGAAGGCCCCACTGGAAATAGTTAGTTTCAATTCAGTTCCAGCTCAATGAAGCATTGAAAACAAGTGTCTGACATTTTCTGCTTTATGGCTCCAAATAAACAATGAGAAAGCCAGTTTCCTGTTTGGGTTGGGTCCATTGGATCCTAGCCCTTAGAAGCTTTGAATTATATCACAGTGACATGCAAGGACTCGCAGGGGAAGAAATGAAGCAGAGGGGAAAGTTGGCACAGTATCAGGAAATCTAGCTAGGGTTAGGTCCCTCGGACCGCAGGAAACAAACGGCAGCTCGAGCATGAGTCAGTGACCCAACAGCAAGCACATCTTGGGGGAACACGAGCACATACGGGCAGGTCGTAGGAGCGGCAATTCCACACTCTGAGGCCCCATGTTGGCCTCTCAGCCAGATTTGTGGGAGCGAGTAGCCACACGCAACACCTGAAATAAAGCCAGCCCAAACTGAGGTGTGTTCAAAAGTACACATTGGATTTCAAACATATACGACCAAAAAAAAAGCAAAATATCTCAATAATTTTGTATATTTATTAAATATCAAGATGACAATGCCTTGTATACATTGGGTTAAATAAAAGATATTATTAATTTCGCCGTTTAAAAAGTTTGTAATTTGGTCACGAGAAAATTTTAATCGCATATATGACTTGCATTTGCGGCTCATATCATATGTCTATGGGACGGGGCTTGGTTAGACGAGTCCCAACCCTGGGGTCTTAATGGGCTACAAGGTCTCCATGGCAACTCAGATGGCACCGAGCTGTTGGAACTCAAACTTCTAGAGAATCATTATGTCCTGAATGAATGGATAAGAAGCCTTTCCTGTATCACATTGTGGAGACAGAGTTAGCTAACTCTGGAGTGTCAATTTCAGGTAAAATTTTAC